TCCAACCTCGTGGTCACACGAGTGCTGCACTTTTTCACACAGATCAGGGACACCCTCCTCCCCAACAAAAACCCCAACCCCAAAAGCAACAAGATAAAAAGATCAAAGCAAATTCATCCAAGTGAGCTCTCACAGCAATACTGGGTTTACTGGTTCACGCATATTAGCGAGACAACGTTTGCGCACAACCTTATCTTTAAGCCATGTAATAAGCTTTGTAGTTTTTCCTTTTCATCCTTTCTAAGTCATCCTAAGGTAACGTTTGCCAATACAGAGTTTTGGTAATGTTCTCTCAGAGGTTGTTTTCTGTATTTCTGGGGTTTATTTCTTCGTACAGCATTCAGATTACACGCAGGATTTAAAGCTGATTATTAATAAAGGAAGCGTTTGTCAGAATTAACCTTCCCATCCCAGTTCGTGATGATCAGCTCTTCCCCTGCAGGCCCTCTCACAGTTCAGCTGTTAGGGTGCGAATTCAAGCCAGATGCTTTTCGTGCATCCTCTGTCTGTTTAATGCACAGACGCGCTGGAAGAAGCGATCTCAATCGACGTTCCGGTCCGCACATTGCTACAGCGAAGCACAAGCTAGCAGGGAGCTGGCACCGGAGGCCCAGGGCCAGCCCAGGAGCAGTCGTCCTGCGCCTGGCAAGTTTCCTTGCAAGCAGGTTCCTACGGGCGTCAAACCGGCGGCACCGCCAGCCAGCTGCCCGTGACCCAGATACTTGACTTAATCACCTGGGTCCTATGCAGTGTTTCGTTTCACTCCTCCAGCCTTGTGACACAAGCGTTGAAGCAGGAATTTGGACAGGTTTAATTACATGTAACCAAGAACTTGACTTCCATGTATCTCAAATTTTACCAGTTTTGCACTTCCGTGAACGACTTCTCTTCATCTCAGCCCAAGACCTTTATTGGCAGCACGGAGGCATTGTGGCTTTGCGTTCCTGTAATAGAACCAGAGAAAGTAAATCTGTACCAGCCCCACAGAACAGATGGGACACGTTCTTCGTCTGCTCGAAGCAGACAGCAAACAGCAAAATTTGCTCCAACTACACGCACACGTGCTGACCACGAGTGCTGGACCCTTCTTAGCCAAGACCTCTTTGTTCCTGGCGACGGATGTGCTGTTTGTGAGCAGATCTTGGTAATTACAACCTTAAACAGCGTTGAGTGTGACCTCAGGGAGATGAAATACGAAAAGCGCTCTCCTCCCATACATCTGACACCTATGTGAACTCCGAGACCCAGGTGACCAGTATGCGACGGCACCGACTTCTTTGATCCATAAGGCAGTTTGTATTTAGAGTCTCCATTACGGCAAGCTTTTATACAAAAAAAACCCCACCCCGCACTGCTGTAACTATTTAGACAACAGATGAACGACACCTGACCATCAGGTTGCAGAAGGAACTGTAAGAATGCAGCGGCAGGAACATTTTCATCCAACAGATTCATTCGTGCTCTTTAAGAAAAGGGGCACTGCTGAAACAGCTTTGAAATGTCTAGGGAGAAGCCTAAAAACTAAGCCCTGAGTCATCTGCTTCTAACAAGGTAATTGGAGGTTTGCCCCTAATTCGCCTTTAGATCTTACCACAGGACCTTGGAATTTTTAGTGTGACCATCTGCAAAGGAATTTGTTTTGGTCTCCATTTGAAAGCCATGTAGCCAAAAAAAGATGCAAGAGCGGCCTTTTCTTTTGGTCTAAACTGCATTTCATAGAATCATAGAATCAATGTTCTGGGTGGGAAGGGACCCCCAGAGGTCACCCAGCCCAACCCCCCCACAGGAGCAGGGACACCTTGAACCACATCAGGTTGCTCACAGCCCCGGCCAACCTGGCCTGGAATGGTCCCAGGGATGGGGCCTCCACCCCCTCTCGGGGCAACCCCTGCCAGGGTTTCACCACCCTCACTGGAAAGAATTTCTTCCTTAGATCCAGTCTAAACCCACCCTGCTTCAGTTTAAAGCCATCCCCCCTTGTCCTGTCCCAGCTGGCCCTGCTAAAAAGCTTGTCCCCCCCTTCCCTCTGGGCCCCCTTTAAGCCCTGACCGGCCGCACTCAGCTCTGCCCGCAGCCTTCTCTTCTCCAGGCTGAACACCCCCAACTCTCCCAGCCTGGCCTCAGAGCAGAGGGG